TCAATATTCCATATATATATATATATATATATATATTATAATATATATATACAATTATATAACAATGAAACAAAAATTATAAAAAAAAAACAAAAAGGTAAAAAAAAAATAAACAAATACTGTGCTTGCGTTTCGCTTGAGAAAGCTACTCAAAGATTCCAAGAAAAAAGGGGCCTTTCTTCTTCCCTAACTTAAACTATGCTGTTATACGGGCGTAGACCCTTTCCTTTAAGCTGTTGCGCCAGACAAAGTTACCCTAACTGGGTGAGTTGCTACGCTATTGCACCTGGTTTTATGTTAGCCTCGCCTGCGTGTGCTTGCTTGTGTGTGTGTGTCTGTGTGTGTGTGTCTGCATACGTATACAGGATATACGCCCATCTGCATGTGTGTGTTGTGTTGTGTGTGTGCGTGTGTGTGTATGTGAGCTTGTCTTAGATATTAATTACAACTTTCTCCTGCGCTGCGGACGTATTCGTTCGCGTCCTTCATACTCAGCATGCTGGGCACGAGTACTTAGCCGCTGCTGCCGATCCAGTCGATCCGGTCGCTCCTGTCGCGCCTGTGTATGGTTGACTATGTCTCTGGGCATTGCCAGCGCTGCGTCCAACAACCGATGTCGTTGCTCTCTCTGTTGGCGTCTCTCGTCATGCAGCGCGGCCTACCAGCGCCGCCGTTAACACCAGCGAAAGGGCACCGCACGCGGCCGATCGGCGCCCTCCTTGACCAGCGGCTTGTGATACTCGCGACCAGGACGCGAATGGATCACGGCCCAGCAGTGCTCGCAATAGTACTGCAAACAGGTGACGTTCGCGCAGAAGAACGGCGCAAACTTCCCGCCACAGCGCTGACCCTCGCACTCATCGCACATCTGATCGTCCAGCACATAGGGCTTCACCTCAACTCTCTTATCGATGTCGCCGTGCTGCAGCTGCACAAATCGCGCCGAGATGGCCGCTATGTAGCTCTGCTGATTGGAGAAGGCCACACGGCCAGCGCCCTTCGGATACTTCAGCTCGGGATCCGTGTCAATGCCTGCGTAGCAAACGCCGCCATATAGACGATCCATGATCATGGCCAACTCAAATGCCTTCAGTGGGCGTGGCACGCCGCCAACAAAAACTGTCTTGCGCGGATCGAGCGACATGGTTGCATCGAGCACATAGTCCGCATCGGCTAAGCGCCAAGGCCTTATCTGCACGGCCTTGTCCTTGATGGTGGGCGAGGAGACGCACAAATAGAGTTTGTCCTCATCCGTGATGCATGAATCAATTAACTGCTGCACGCTGCTCTCATCCTGGAACAGCAGAAACGCATAGCCCTTGGGCGGAAAATACGACTTCGACTCTGCCTTGTGCGGCCAATCCACGACCAAAGGTCCAAAGCGACGAAACGATGTGGTTATCTCATCCTCGTCAATATCCGGCGGCAAACCGCCCACGAAGACCTTACGGGAGAAGCGCGCCGTGCAGTCGCCAGCATTGCCTCCATTGCCGCCCTGAATGGGCGAGTGTGGTGAATGGGGCGATAGACGCGAAGGCGAGCCCATCTTCAGAGCATTCAAATACACCGTCGGATCATTGCCCGCGGCTATGGCCATGGCATCAGCTTCACTCAGATGCTTCGAGACGCCGCCGCCGCCAGTGAGGCTGCGCATACGATCATTCATCATGCCCATGTTGTCGCCACCGGCACCGCCGAGCGACATGCCGCGCATGTAATCACTGAGACTGTTCTCCATGCCGCCGCCAGCGACATGATGCAGCTGCCCATTGGCGTTCATCATGTTGCCATAGTTGTTGCCCAGATAAGGCGCATCGCCGCCACCTGTAGCACCTGCTGTGCCCATGCCACCGCCGCCACCACCACCACCATTGCCAATGGACAAAGTGGGTATGTTCATGTGACCGGGACCAGGTCCAGCGCCGCCCATGCCATCCATGCCACCGCCGCAACCATAAAGCGCCGTCGGTGAATTGCCCTTGATGGGAAACGATATGCTGCGTCTGTATTTGGGCGAAACGCCCTGCATGTTCATTTGCGGTATGGGCGAAATGCCGCCGCTGCTGCAACCCGCTTGAGAGCCATTATATGGCGAGCCAGCGCCACCGCCACCACCACCAATGCCTCCGCCACCAGGCGAAGAGGGACTGTGTGCACCGCCACCGTCCCGATGCTGGTGCTGCTGCTGTTGATGATGATGCAGTGCACTCAGATTGGGCGACAATTGCTGCTGCTGCTGCTGCTGCTGCTGTAGCTGAGGCGGCGGCTTGCTGAGATTCAGATTGGGCGGCAGACCGCCGCAGCTGCGTGGAAGGTAACAAGAGAGATGAGGCTTTTTACAAGTCGTTTGCATTTGGCTTATATTAAATATTATATATTTATAAAAAGGAGCAATTTGTTCAAAGATTTGCTTCAAATAATACAGTTTTCGAATTTACATATATATATATATATATAGATAGGAGTTTGTAATAAAAAGAAATTAGTTTGTGTATGACTTTTAGGAATATATATATATATATATTTAGCTGCTTTTGCTCTACTAAAACATTGCCGCCCAGCGTTTGAAAATATAATGAAAAAGCAAATTTGAATAGAATAAATATCTATAAAAGATTATATATATTTTTATAAAATATTTGTTACACTGGGCGTGGCTGTCTTTTATAAACGTTTTATTTATTTATCTTTTTCTAAATCAAATCTTGAAATTGCTCCTTTCTCTGTTTCTCTGTTTATAGAACGTTGAATTAAAGTTGTTGCTGCTTTAACGATGTTGTTGGTGTGGCAAACATTGTTGTGGTTGGTAATGTTGTTGTTGTTGGTGGTGGTGGTGGTGGTGGTGGTTTGGTGGTAGGTTGTTTGGTGGTGTGAGTGGTGCGTGGTGGTGATTCGTTTCAATCCAATCAATCAGATTTCATATTTTATTTGTATTTTTGTTGGCAGTTTTAGCAGCACTGTGGCACTGTGCACTCGCTTAATTGTAAACAGAATTCCAAACACTTTACACTTGGCACGATAACGATAAACGATTAACGATACACACACACACATACATTTATGTACAATCAAAGTTTCTTAAGCTGCCCAAAAAGATAGCAACGGCCCAGCATAACAAAATGTGTTAAATAAAGAGGTAAATCGAGTAGATATCGAGAGAGTTATATTGTGGGCGGCAATGGGTTAATAGAAGTAGATATATATATATATATCTATATATATAAATATATAGAGAGAGGCTAAGGCCAATGTTATTAAATTTGAAACTTATTCAAAGTATTGGTTTGTTGTTGCTGCTGCTCGCATCTGTTCGCTAATTGATTTGAGGAGAAAAAAGCGCAGTACATGTCAAACTGTATATGGAAAAGTTTTTAATTTAAAAGGGAAAAGAAGAAGAGCGTAGTCTCTCTTGAATAGATTGCCAAGGGCGAGGGAGAGTGCGAGTTGAAACTGGTAAATGGAGGCTGGGCTGTTAATGAGAATGAAGATGCGGATGCTGCGCGCTGCTGCCGTTGATGAAGATAATGATGAAATGTATAGCATGCTGAAACGTGTACAAGTGTAAATAGATAAATAAAAAAATTAAAGCAGAGGGTAGGTGTAGCTAGCTTTTGCTGCTGTTGCTGTGCGTCTGCCTGGCTGATAAGCAAAGAGCCACGCAGGTGTCGCTGTGCCTAACGTCATTTGCCAGTGTTGCAAAATGCAATTATGGAATGCAATTAGCTTTTCAGTTGAGCGAGAGAGGAAATCGAAAAAGGCACAAACGTTCAAAAAATTGTTATTAAAGATTCAAATCGGAAACACAGCCTGATTGGCAGGCAAATCGAAAAGCTGACAGCAAATAGGCTTGCAAGAAAATCAATAAAGCAAGAAGAGTGCTCTTTGCTGGGGAGTGCACGACTAGGATATACTGAATTTGGCAACTGCGGAGATAATGGAGTAAGCATGAAGTCTGTTGCTACACCAAGGCGTGCAGACATACAGACGGAAAGGTCTTGATCTTGATCTTGATACAGATTCAATATATAGTTTCGCCAATATACCCCAAGCGCGCATATAAAGAGGTATTCAAGTAGGCAGCACAAGCTTAAAGCGCAGACATTTTCAATATTTTAAATGTAAAATGTAAATGGCAAAAACCAGACGTGCGTCTGCCCACACACACACACCATACACACACCACGGCAAACGACCAAGACCCAGACGACTGACGACCCGGCACTTAAAACCAGGCAAAGTTCTAGACGTACTCTCGCAACTGTACACAAATGTGTACGAAACACATGCGACATAAACAAAAGCCCAGTCGGCTGAGTGTAGTGCACTTAAAAAAAAAAAAGAAAGGGTTGAGCTGCAGGTGGAGTCGAGCGCTTTTAAAGCCGGTAGGCCTTGAATGCATTAAAAATGCATAAGTGCAGCAAAAACCATCGCAAACTTTACACAAACTCTCGGTCAACGAACCGTCTGCAATGCCGCGCAACAGGCTGTTGTCCGTTTTCTAACACTGCAAACCAACAAAAAGGAAAAACGTGAAGTTGGCTGCGCGTGCTTATTCAAAAATGCCTCGAATTGTCACTGGACACGCACCAGTGCAATGCTGATGATATCAAAGGGAAATACGTGTAAGCAAAGCCTCTTTTTTTGGCAGTCCGATTGCAGCCAACTTAACAGAGCTGCAGCGCAGCCAACTTAGCGCTACGTGCTGCCGGGTCTTTTAAAGGGCATACGGTAATGAAATTTTATGAGCTATCAAAGAGCAGGTGCTGTAAACGAGAAAAGTGTTTGTTTGTGTGTGTGTGTGTGTGTGTGTGTGTGTGTGTATCTGTATTTATGTGTGTGTGTATTTAATTTGGCAAATATATGCAAATTGTAGCAGCAACAACAAACAACAAAGAGAAGAAGAACGTGTGTTCGAGAGGGGGTTTCTGATCAAACTGAAAAGTTCAGTATTCTGTACGTCAGAGTTGTGTGTGTTACAAGATTTCAGTTGTTTCACTCACCTTTTGCGATTGAAGAAGCCTCCGCCACCGCCTCCGCCATTGTTCCCGCCAGCGCCGCCTTGCAGATAATTGTTGCGCAGATTCACCTCCTCGTTCTGGTTGGCATCAATAGAGAAAGAGAGCGGCGGTTCAAGGGGGAATAACATTTTGCAACAATGAGTCAATAGTGCCAAATGATTTTGCAATCAAATATCAGCGCTGAAGCTAAGGCAACATCTGTCGACAATTTTTTTCTCTTGTTTTTTGGCAGTCTTGGCACACTTATAAATAGCTGCTCAAGTTATTTCAAATAAAACAATTTGTATGACACGAAAATAAAGCACAGCTGATTCGGCTCTCTGAAATTCTTGCTAAAAAGTGAAAACTACGAGACACTAATTAAGACGACAACGAAATGCTAATTGAACGCCGTCGCACGGCCAACTGGATCTCTAATTCCACGCCCTTTTAAATCTGATTAGCGCCAGCCGCGCGCCGTGACGAATGAAAGTGAATCAACTGTGCGACATTCGCCAGCTGCAGCAACTACTGATAACGCTACACAATACAAAATGCACAATTACTAAACGTCTCCAGACAAAAGTATAATATTGTAAGGAACCGAAGAATTGTAGTAAACTGCGTCAAGCAGCTGCTGTGTATCTCTATATTTTAGATACGGATATATATTTTAGATATATTACGGGGAATTCTCGAACATCGTATGACGAATAGAAATGAAATGAAGAAGAGAATATATTGTAATGCATCGCATATATATGGAGCAATGTAAATACCAATTAGATTTTAGTATTAGATTTAGAATATTTCAGGGAATTTTTCGTAGTTCTGAGAATACTTCAGATCATTCTTATCTATTCGAGTTTCTATTTTGGAATGCTATAATACATATCATATTAGAGCTACATAAGCACAGCATATAATATAAAGCTGAAAATATATATTGATACAGAAATACCAACGCTAAATGCCAATTATATTTTAGTACTGAGAATATTTCTATCTATAATAAATGCCCTAACAAACCTAGCTCAAAAAACGAATACTGTCGATAGACTTCAGATACAATATTGAATACTTACAGCAAAGAGTTGCTGCTGCTGCTGCTGCTGATGTAGATGCTGCTGCTGTTGTTGCTGCTGCTGCTGCTGCTGCTGCTGTGAGGGACTGCTGGAGAGCGAATGCGAGTCACAGGGATTCACCAACATGCCAAGGGCAGCGCCCACGCTTCCATTATTCTTCATGCCCAGCAGAGTGGGCGAGGCATCGCCACCGCCGCTAATGCCGCCACTGGGGCTGTGGCTGTGGCTGCTGTGCTGATGCGCTGATGTGCTGTGATGGAACGATTGGAGTATGTCACCGAGCGACTCCTGATTGGCATTGAAGCGGACCGCAATGGGTGTGCTGCTGCTTAAGCCAGGTGGTGTCTTTATTGTGGCAGCCACCGTGGGCGGCACAGCCGATGTGGGCGTGGTGGCCAGGCTACCAACAACAGAAGTGGATGCCGAGCCGGAAAGATTGCTGTTGCTGCCGCTGGCGCTGCTAGTGGCGCTGTTGGCTGCAAGAGTAAATGGTTCTTAGTCACAGCTTAAAATATATTCCTCTCTCGTACAGTCATCAACAGGGTATATACGTACTTTTGGGTAATTTAAGCGAGTCCATGCTGCTGCTGCTGCTGCTGGTCGTCTTTATATGGCTGCACGTGAAGAGCTGCGTTGACGGGCGTTGCGTTTGCCTTAGCCTACATGCAAAGTGGGCCAACGAATCGTATCCAAAACATCAATCAGTAGCAATAGGCAGCGACAGCGACACAAGTAGAGAGGGAGAGCAAGACAGAAAGAGAAAGAGGGAGAATAAAGAATACACATTAAAGTAAATTGAAAAAGGACAGACACAAAAGTAGAGCGAGTTAGTTGGAAACACGTCACACGATTAGTTTATCATATTTCTCTTCGCAAATGTCAAACGTTGTCACAAAGCAACGCGTTAATTGCGTTCAAAAATAACAGAAATAACAAAAACCATTTCCCATTACATTTCTGCGTTATTTTGTTCTATTTATAAAAGCTTTAAATATATTTTATCTACAATTCTGCCGTTTGATGTTGCCAACAGAACTTTAATGGATTATAATATATCATAATTGGCACACAAATTAAAGGGGAATCACTTTATAGGAAGAGTGGGGAAACAATGTTTTTTTATTATCTCTCAAAATTGTATTTTAATTAACATTACTAAGCACTTGAGTAGATAATAAAACAGAACCGAAAACGCGCTGTTTTTGGTTCGAATCCCATGTTCTTGCGGTTGGTTGTTTAGATTATTTGTTATCTATTGAGTGAAATACCCTCGACTTTTTTTGGATTTTAGCATCATAGTTTGCTGACTTAACTACTTTACAAAAAGCTCTTGAACTAACATTTTGCTACTTTTTTTTATTATCTCATTGAGATCTCCCTCTACGAGCCGCAAGTTAAATTTATTCATTGCAATCCGTACTTTATAAGCTGCCCTCAATTAGCTCTCATTGGCTGCCTTCAATAAGCAATCCAAGAAGTCAGGCCGAGTGCTACATTTAAGGTTACCAATTTAGTGGAACAAGCTCCAGGTGATAGAGAGGCTACCTTTAAATATATATATTTTGAGTCAGTTCACTTCCCGCTATTTTATTCTAAGGCTATTCATGTAGGTTCATATTGCACTTCTCATCAGAAACTATTTAATGACAAAGCAAAAGCTCTATATAAATGTTTGCTCTACATAAACAAAATCTACTTCATATGACAATTTCCACTCGACCTTTATAAAGTGCAAGTCTCTTTTGAAATTCATTCACTCATTTCCTAATCTATCTTTTCTATATAAACCCTTTCATAATACCACGAAATTTAATACCCAATTAGTTTCAGACATGGCGTTGACCATCTGATGCGCTGGCTAACTGCATTTGCTTTGTGACGAACGTGTTGCCAATTTTTTATGTCCATACGAAATTTGGTATCAGTGCACGTTTTATCGAGGAACAACGAAACGGTTGATAAAAGTGCCCATTAAATGCGCCTTGCTTGTTCAATTGTTGCTGCCAGCAATCATCAATAATAATAATAAACAATAGCAAATATCAATCTTGATAAAAACAAAAACTAAGCGAATGAGTAATACGAGATAAAGAAAGAAAAGAAAGAAGAAATAATATGTTTTAGAACATGTTTAAAGCTGCAGCCATGAGAGGCGAGCAAATATACTCGTATAACCCATTTACCATACGGTGTCCAATCTCTTGCAAGCTCTATGCACGCACTTCACTCTGAAATTGGAACTTGTCACCGGAAAGCGCCTATTGTTGTAAAACAAGGCAACCAAGCGAGAGGGGAAGGGGCAGAGCGAGTAGCAGCCAGCGGCACGTTTAATTAGTTAAATGCAGAGAGAGACAACAAAATTGTTACGCCACTGAATATGTTCGCTCAGCCATTTTAGAGTCTCGCGGTGCCCCTGCCCCCTCGATAATGCAACGCCTACAACTGAAATTTGTAGAGGGAGTATATGCTTGGAATATAAGTGATGCTTTCTATGTTCCTAGATTCACTGCTAGATTCTTGCTAAAGCTAAAGCATATTTCAGTTACTGAAAATCGCATAGAGGGGCGCTTGACATTTCGAATTTGGTACTCCTACGCACACAAGGCATATTTATTAAGAACGATACTGCATATTTTGACCAAATATAAATCGCTTCTAAATCTAATGTGCTCTAGGAAATCCACCATAGTTTTATACTCAACTCAAATTGCATAGAGCGGAGTCACTCTTCTTCCGTAAAGGAGTTTTGCTCTAGCATAGCTTTAATATAACCCCCTTTTACGCCGTATATTTACCGAAAGGGTATAAAGAGCATAATCAATACAGAAAATTGTCCTACAAACGAAAGAGCGACCCCCAAAAAAGGCAGCAAGTAAGCAACTTGAATTACAGCATAACGCAAGAGGCAGAGGCCGAAGTAGCAATAACAATGACAGTAACGCCCCCATCCTGACTCACACACACGCACAGACTCTCGAGTGTAACATGCCGCCAAAAGCAAAAGCATAGACAGCTTGGCTCACAACCCACAAGAGAGCAAATGCTGTCTGGGAGAGCGAGTGCTGCAGCTATGCGTGTGTGTGTGTGGGAGAGTGTGCGTGTGTGTTTGCGCAAACATATTTATCTGCATTTAAGGTACTTTATGAACAAATAAAAATTATTTTCTAAATAGCTATGCGAGAGGAACTCGGTATTATCACACGTCTGCAATTAGATTTAGTAACTGGGCCAAATTGCCGTGCGAAGTGTTTTCCTCTCTTTATACCCTGTTTGGGGCTCTGGCCTGAGATTTAGGGGTTATTATGGCCTTTGCTTTGCTCAACTGTTTCGTTGCTGCTGCTGCTCGGTCGCTCGCTGGCTCGGTTACAAACGCTCGTGCCCCAATTTCAATTGGTTACGCACAACAGAGAAAAAGGCAACCCTGCTCTACGGGGTTGCTTCGTGAACTGCACGAAATTAGGCCAAATGCTGCGCACAGATATGTAGTTAAATATATATACACACATACGTATATAAATGCATGTGTAGTGACATTTTGACAGGTGCAAACGAGGCGAGCATTAAATATAAAATTCTATTTATTTTTTTTGTATTTTTGTTTTATGTATTTCCTTCCACTAACCTTTTGTACTCGAGAGAATTTCTGTTTGGCCTCGTTCGGCAGTTGGTGCAACGACGCACGAGCGCACACGAAGGCGCGCCACGAAGTCACGAACAAAACTTTCAGGTGCAAGTTTTTCTTATGCCTTCGTGTTTATGTGCGAGTGAGCGTATGCGTGCGTATGTGTGTGTGTGTCGTGCGTTACATTTCCGGGGGTGCAGGCAGGCAGCAGGCCGTCTCACTCACACTTTCGCACAATTCTGTGACGTAGATCGCACTGTATTTTTTCGTTTTCGTTTTTTTTTTGTTTTCTGCAATGGCAAAATTCCTTTGCTGCAGCACAGAATTTGGTTCTCCTTTTATGTAAACGATGCGAGTGTTTGAGGCAGCATTTACATTATGTTGTTTTCGTTTTACTATTTCATTTGTATTTTAAAAAGACATTTACAACGCGTTTGTTTCTCCACTTAAAGCACAGTTTTATAGACAACAAATTATTCACACAACACGCACAGAGCAGAGCACACGACTTTTCATAGCGTAGAACAAAAAATTTTACATTGCACTAGAAATTTTGGGCATTAGGAAACACACAATGTTTACACTAGAATTTTAAGCTTTAATTGCCAATAGATGTAAAATTTATTTAATCTTTTTTTTGTTAATTTTGGAGAAAAACAGCTCGCGTCCGCTCGCTGGCGCGACGATTGTGAGACTGAATTCTAAAACTTTTCGCTACTGCTGCTTAGCTTTTCACAAGCTTGTTTTGTCGTTGTCGCTGCTGTCGTCGCCTACTTTTCCCCGACGCACGACGAAAAATCAATCATTCTTCCTTGTTTTGCTTTCATACGGTGTTTCGTGCTTTTCTGACAGCCCACCAACGACAACAACAACAGAAGCACTAACAGCAGCAGTAGCAGCAGCTGCTCGAAATGCAGCGTTGCCGTTGTGCATCTATACCGATATATGTATATATATCGATAGTTTGCACAATAGTAATTCAAACAAGGAAATGCGCAAAAAAAAAAGAAATTAAGCTTCAATTTTCGTCGCATTACATAAATATCTATGACACATTTATACATTTTATGCAAATTATTATTGCAGCCATCTGGCAACACTCCCAACAATGTATGCAATGGCAACGGCTGAATAAAGTGAATATAAGGGAATTACATAAATGAGCTCTACTTACAATAACAACGCCAACAATGTTCCTGCTGCTGTTCCACAATTGTTTTAGGTATACAACAATAAAAACGGCACAAACATCAGCTGCGGGGTTTTGAGTTTGTTTTCTAATGCACACACGCGCGCGCGATATTGACTTTTGATGTTGTTTTTTTATTTAGGTATTTGGCTTTATGTATTTTAATGTGTTTACAAAATATATTTATGTGCACCCTTTTGGTTTTTGTTACCCTAGTAGAAAAAGCTGTGTCAGGGTTTTTTTTCTCACTTATTTATGAGCATTGCTTTTAATTTTTTTTTTGTGGGTTTTTGTGTTAATTTTTATACAAGTTTCCCTAGACAACTACGATGGCTGCTCAGACAAGCAGTCGACCTGCAACTAAACATTCTATGGCAAGCTTTTCACAGCTGTTTCGTCGCCTATTTCGATCAATTTAAATCGATGTGGCTACACTGGTACGATAGTCAGAGAACGAGCATATGCGCGCCATTTGAGCGATTTAAAATTTCGATAACTGTTTCTAAATTAATATTTTCTCATTTAGGTACACAGCCGTTAAGATTTATAATCTGATTGTTAGCACATACTATGACTTTTGAGTGCAATCAGTCAATTCGGCGTTGTCAGACCGGTTTATGTTTGTTATTGAAAGTAGACAACTATATTGTGTGTGTATATACTCAAATGAAGACCGGTTTTTTGATAAGCGGCTTTATATACATATGAGACTCTTCCCATCAGTGCGCATTCGTTATTCTCAGAACCGAGATGTCGCACGGCTTGCTCTGTGGGTTTTTCCTGCTATTATTAGCACTGGCTAGTGGCTACACGGTGCCAACTGCCAAGATTGAAGTATTTTATCCAAAAGGCTTCGAGGTGTCCATACCACACGAGGAAGGAGTAACGCTCTTCGCCTTCCACGGCAAGCTGAACGAGGAGATGGAGGGCCTGGAGGCGGGCACCTGGGCACGTGACATTGTCAAGATGAAAAATGGACGTTGGACTTTCCGAGATCGCCAAGCTGAGCTAAAGCCAGGCGATGTTCTATACTATTGGACCTACGTTATCTACAACGGCCTGGGTTATCGCGAAGACGACGGCGCATACGTGGTAAATGCATATAACGGCAGCACTCCCATTTCAACGACTCCAGCAACACGAGTGACCACTCCAGCCTACGTTGTGCCAGATATTGACATCAGATTTGGCAACTGTGAGACGCCTAAAACTCTAGCGAATGGCGCTCCAGTTCGTTGTGCAAATCAACAAATCTTTGTGGACGACTTCAATGGCGGCAGGCTAGACGCATCTAAGTGGACGCTGGAACATCGGTTCGCAGGTGCTCCAGACTACGAATTCAACATCTATGTGAAAAATGCACCCCAAACGTTGAGCCTTCAAAACGGACATGTTACGGTGCAGCCGTTTGCCACGAAACGCTTCTTCAAGCAGAAATTGGAGGAGAAGTTAGATCTGGGCGGCGAATGCACGGGCGAGAAACACTCGGCGGATTGTGTGCGAGATCCAAGGAGAAGGCGTGACAAGCTGCCTCCGCTGGTGTCTGCACAATTCTCCACCAAGCAGAGCTTCGCCTTCAAATACGGCCGAGTCGAGGTGAGAGCGAAGATGCCGAGAGCGAAGTACTTGGTGCCACAGCTCTGGCTGCAGCCCAAGGATAACGTGTATGGCAAGGAGGACTATCAGTCGGGCCAGGTGCGCATTGGCTATGCTCGTCAGGTGCCGGGCGGTCAACTGGATCTCTACACTGGCGTCTTGCTCAATGCTAAGGAGCCCTTGCGTTCGAGCAAACTGTGCCACAAGTTGGGCACCGGCGACAGCAACGACGATTGGAGCGATAGCTTCCACAACTATACGGTGGAGTGGACGCCACGACACCTGAAGTGGTTCGTGGATGGGCGAGAGATATGCTCGAAGAGCAGTGATACGGGCGCTTTTAGCGGCACCGTCGTTTCCGACCAAAGACTGCCGAACGTGGACGAGCTAGAGAAGGGCACAGGAATTGCTCCATTCGATCAGGACTTCTATTTGACAATAGGTTTGGGTGTTGCGGGATTCAATGAGTTCTTTTACGACAGAGAGAAACCTTGGCTTGAGCAAGATACCATTGCCATGACGCAATTTTGGAACACTATCAAATCACGGCAGGATCAATGGCTGGATGATGCTGAGCTCAAAATAGATTATATCAAAGTTTATTCTGTATAAAATTTATAATTTATAAAAATAAAACAGATTAACATTTAAATACATTAAATTTAAGTGTTTTTAAATATTACCATAATTAAAATTAATTAATATTATAATTAATATACTCAAATTTAAAAAAAAACCTTAAATTATTTTCTTATTTGCTTTTTCAAAGTTCGATAGTTTATTTAAAAGCTATGGCCACATTACGCAGTGCGCACATCGATAACTATCACGAACAGCTGTGCATTAATTGAACGTGTTTTTGGTAAACTACCATCACTAGTGCTCACATAACCCTCTGCGGCTTTTGCCTAATAGAAAAGAACACAAGTAATTGAAAATATCATTGTATAAAAATGTTTTTCTAACTTAAAGCACGTTTCTGGTTTACAGCTGTACACAAAATGCAAATCACACGTCTTGTGCTGCGTCAACTGAGACGTCAAATCAATGTTCAACGTCAGTACAGCGCTGCTGCTCCGGCTGCAGCTGCCGCAGCTGAGAAACTCGTGCCACCAGTGCCGGAAGGTGTAGCCAAGCCACCTAATCCAAAACTAGACAGCATTGTCAACAACATAGCCGCCCTCAATCTGCTCGAGGTAGCTGAACTTAGCACGCTGCTAAAACAGAAGCTAAATCTGCCAGAGACTGCATTTGCGCCGCAAATTGCGGCTGCCGGCCCAGCTCGTGGTGCAGCAGCCGATGATGAAGAGGAGGCAGCGCCCAAGAAAGTGCAAACCTCCTTCAAGGTGAAGATGATCAAGTTCGATGAGAAACAAAAGGTGGCGCTAATCAAAGAGGTCAAGAATCTGCTCGAGGGCATGAACCTGGTGCAAGCCAAAAAGTTTGTAGAGAGCGCGCCAACCATAGTGAAAGAGGACATTACCAAAGAGGAGGCCGAGAAACTGAAGGAGGCGCTGGCCAAGGCGGGCGCAGTCATTGAAATTGAATAAGCTAAAACTAGTTATTTGTTGTAATAAAAAACCCATACAGCACATCTGCTGTCAACTAAAATAGAAAAACCTATGCATTACCTATGCATAGCTGCACATGTATGAGTGCTAAGAAGTGTTATTTGTAGCAACTTTGTTGCAACTTTCTAGCAAACAATTCCCTGACCACTTTTACCTTTCTGAATGAGTCTAAGCCTTAATTAGTGTACTAACTGGTTGTAATTAGTGCAATATTGCTAATGAAAGTCGTGCGCTATGTCCACCACTAGCCGATGAATGTAATTTCGGCAGTGTTGCCACCAGTGTGCCAGCTAAATCAGTACCGTTACATCATTTTGTAATAAAGCCCAGTTGGAAATGAGAGTGCTAACTAATATAAGTAAAATTCAAATTGAGCGATTAATGCAGATCGAACGAGTCACACTGTTTACTCAAATCCAATCGAAAGCAAGCACGGCGCACTTTCTACGCTGTCCGGGCCATCATGCGAAGTTTGTTCACGCGTGTTCTCAAATTAAGTGCGTATGTTGGTTCGCTATTGGATATAAGCTTGGTAAATCACTTTCATCGACCCGTTCATTTGTTTGCTGTCATTTATAAATGGTATTTTTTTACAGAATGCTCCAAATATTTGCAGCCTCCGAAATAAACTCCACACGACTTTGCCGCCATGGAAAAACTTAGCTTAGGGAGGCTGGAGCAGAGCGTCGCGGTCTATCAATTAGCACCTGCGTCGCTCAGCACCTGCGTCTGTAGCACCTGTATTTCATTGTGGCATAGTAAGCTCCTCAATTGTAGCCTGCCTCAGTCTCAGTCTCAATCGAAACATAGACGCGTACAATACGTTCTCTCTCCCGTCTTTGGGGTAACTGTAAAAACCGAAAGTGGAAGTGAACAACAAATATAAATATATATACATTTATATATATTTATATATATATAGATTTATATTTATATAGTTAATCATGTCGGCTCACACACATTCCACGCGTATCTTGGCCATTGTTGCCATCTTCTTCAGCAGTTACATCGTTGGCATTTACAGTGCGGCACGCGCTAGCCATCAGTTGGCTCCACTGAATGCGACTCACAATGAGAGCAGCTCACTGGATGCAGTGGATGCCAAGGCCTCCTCAGAGACGAGCTTAGCTCGCAGCAGTTCGAGAAATCCTCGCTGTAAGTGAAAAATAAAAATTTTTTGTTGTTGAGTGGTGTTTGTTCCAATGTATGTATGTGGGTCAGTTCTTAATTATCACCCAGTGCGCATTTCCGTGCAGAGCTCTTTAGTCTTAGGCACGCATTGTCACCGCCTGACCGAGCAGAGATTCACTGTTGATACTGGATTTATGGGTTACTTTCTGAAAATGCCAAAAAAAAGGAGATCAAATCTAAGCAGATCCTTAAGCTCTTAAGGAGAAATTTTATAACTAAAATAGCATTCACCTAGTGCGATATTTATATTTTCTTATCCAGTTTCCAGCGGTTCCTGAAGCAGTTCTACTATCTACTTGATTGATGTTTATTACTTAATCCTTCAGCTAAGGATCATAAGATTATAACTACAATGTTATTTACTTTCTTCTTCTAGACATACCTTAAGCAATGTAATATTTTATCTACTTGATTGAAACTGGTGATTCCTCCTTTAGAATATTATAAAATCATATACCCGACAGGCCTAGGTGCTAGTTTATCGCTTCGTATTCTTATAGTGTCTAGACCTACCAAGATTTCTCTTCTACACAATCAGCTAATAGCTGAATACTATAGAAATTCTAACTTTGCAATTTAACCCTATTTTATATAATATTAACAAAAATAAGTTTGATCTATTACATATATATTCCTTGTAGATAGTTATTTAAAATTTCTAAATATGCCTTATATATCACTTCTATACAACTTTTCAGTTTTCCAATATTTGTCTTGATTAGTGATTTCTTAACTTATAAGAACTTATAAGAATGTACTTATATAAGATAAAACGATAAAGATATTCACACCTTGCCATAATCTTACAGGGTTTCCCTTCTACACAATTGGACGCTTCTCCAATGACATTTGTTTGGGCAACAACCTGCTCATGGGCACCTGCATGATAAACGGCGAGTGCACGGACAACAAGGGCGTTGCGGCGGGCAGTTGCTCCACAATAACCAACCAAGCCGTTTGCTGCATATGTAAGTTGACCTAAATACAATCTCATTCAATGCCTAATTCGGCTGGCTCTGGCTCTCTTTTAGATCAACGCACTTGTGGCGCGAGTACCAGCTACAATAACACCTATTTCTACAACAGCAACTACCCGGCGCCTTATGCCGGCGGCGGACGTTGCACCATTGTGGTGAATCCGCCGGACTCGACAATTTGTCAGCTACGCATCGATTTTATGGCCTTGTCGCTGGCGCCACCCACTGGCGATGGTTTGTGCACGACGGACGCGTTGACCATATCGGGTGGCGCCTCACAAGTGCCCACCATTTGCGGCGAGAACTCTGGCCAGCATGTCTATGTGGACTTCAATGGCGTCAGCCCCATAACTATTTCAGTGGCCACGTCTGCAGGTTATACGTTCAATCGTAATTGGCAATTGCAGCTACGCATGATGGCCTGCACCTCGGCTACGTTGGCGCCCTCTGGCTGTCTGCAGTATCACATGGCCTCCTCGGGTAATATTGCCAGCTTTAACTACGTTTCGGCGGCCTCCTCGGCGCTGAACTCCATCGGAGTGCAGGGCACTAGGCAGCTGGCCAGCCTGCGCTATGGCATTTGTATACGAAAGGCTACTGGGATTTGCTCGATCACGTACAGCCAGGTTGGGTCGGATACGTATTCCTTTACGATGACCAACGATGTCGGCGCTGTGGATCCCACGCTGCTGGCCACATCAGCGGTGCAGAGTCAAGACTGCACCACGGACTACATCATCATACCAGCGCCCACGCAAGGCGGCATCAATATGCCCAGCGATAGATTCTGCGGCTTGGGCCTAGTGCCCACCACAACATCTGCGAAACCATTTGTTGTCTATGCTGTGACGGATGCAAATGAGGAGATGGATATATCGAATCGAGGCTTCTATTTGGCCTATTCACAAAACGCGTGTCCCGTGCTGTAGTCGTAAATGATATCAACTATAATAAAAGACTTTAAGAACAATAAGAATCACATAGGAATACATTAACTTATAGCACACATTGGTTTTATCATATAGTTTCATCCACCAATATTTTAAGGCAATGCTTTAAATGTACATTTTAATTTAACAACCACGAGAATGACTAGATTGGGGTAGGACTACGCCGCCATGCGTATCAGATTTTCTATCTCGGCCTGCAGTTCTTTGATCTGTGAAAAAATACGGATTAGCTGAAGACAGATATAAATAGAGAGGTTTGGAGACTTGCCCGATTATTGAAGTGTGTCTTGGTAGCAGTGTCTGCCAGTAGCTGGAACGCCTCATTGTCCACGCGTACTTTGTACTTCTGCAACTCGTTGACCAACTTCTTCAGCTTCTTCTTGTTCGTTGTTTTGATTTGCTCGCGTTTCTCAACTGGAATTGTGAACTCCTCTTTAATGGTGATGCCAAAGGAGCAGAGTGCGCCGGCAGTTGAAAAGAAGTTCAGTTTCTTGGAGAACTTTGAATCCTCATTGAGCAGCTCTAGCTCCACGTTGCCGCAACGCGTGAGCACACCAATTTGCGCCAGATGACGGCGCAGAATCATTTCTGCTTCCTCATTCTGAGCAAAAAGAGATAGCTTCGGGGAATGACGGTTGCTGATTTGATTACGACTCTTCATCTGGCGCACATTGGTGCAAACGTTGACTATGTCAGCGACCTCCGCTTGCAGCTTGGGATCTTGATAGTCCGACAGCTTGAGCTCAATGTTCAGCGGCACATGCTGCAATAGCTCAGAGGCTACGAAGGGTGTAAATGGCGCCAAGGCCTGTAAGCCCCAGCTAAGGCAGGCGGTCAATGTGGCCACGTTCACATAGGCATCATGGCTGCGATTCTTGATCGCATTCTTGGTGGTTTCCTAAGAGCAAAAAGTGCAACATTAGATAAAACCCAATAGAGTAAGGAGGAGACTTTACCAAATACACATCACACAGATTCTGATAGAAGAAGTGCTTCAGAGCCGATGTAGCCATATGGAAATTGTAGTTGGAAGAGCTCTCGGAGCATATGGATAACGTCTCAGCCAATCTGCCAATAATCCATCGATCCCACATATTGAGCTGAACGCCCTCCAAAGTCTCAAATTCATCTAGAGTAATTCCGAGAATTTGAGCAGAGCCAAGTGTAAATCGCATAGCTTGCCAGATCTTGTTGAGGAACAGCTTGTTGGTATAGCAGGTGGTTACATCGAAGTTGATGAAATGATGCTTGATGTTGTGACTAAGCAGCGTGAAGCGCAGGGCATCTGTGCCGCACTCCTGAATGCCGCTTGGAAACATTTTCATCATGCTCTCTGTAGATGTTTTCAATTCTTGAGGTTTGATTACGCCGGCATCGCTTGATTGCTGCAGTACAGCTTTTAAGCTGTCCAAGCTGGCGCCCTGCACCACTTGCTGTGGAGCCACAATGTTGCCCAAGCTCTTGGACATCTTGCGGCCGTGAGCATCGCACACGATACCGTTGAGCAGAATACGCTGAAAGGGCGCCTTGCCTGTTAGCTTCAGTCCCATCATCATCATGCGAGCAACCCAGAAGAAGAGTATATCATGCCCGGTCTGCATTAGATCGAGTGGATATTTCTCCTTATAGCTCTCATTGGGCCAACCAGCCACGGAGAAAGGTAATAGCGATGAGGAGAACCAAGTATCAAGTACATCTACGTCTCGTGTTAATCTCACCTCCTTCGTGCCCAATTTGGTAATTGCCTTCTCCCGTGCACTTTTCTCATCGGTGGCCGCCACCCAGCAGCTGTTGCCCCTGGAGTCGAAGGCCTCGTAGGCAGGCACCTGGTGACCCCACCACAGCTGACGAGAGATGCACCAATCCCGCGAATCCGTCAGCCAGCGCTCCCAGTCCGTCTCAAATGTCGACGGCATTATTTGCAATCTTCCACTCTTCAGCTCCGATAAAGCGGACTCACACATAGATCTGGTATTGAGGAACCACTGCGGAACCATCATGTATTCAATGATATCCTTTGAACGAGAGCATATTGGCAATTGCATGCTGTGCGAGCGCACCTCGCGCAGTAGCTCCAGCTGCTCCAAACGCTGTACGATGCAATCCCGTAGATCGAAGCGACGTTTGCCCTGAAACTCAGGATATGCTTCGTCGATCTCCCCGTTTTCGGTAAAAACACGACGTCCCTCCAGTTTGTGGCGTGTGGCCACCTCAAAATCGAACTTGTCATGGGCTGGCGTTAGCTTAACAGCGCCTGTACCAAACTCCGAGTCCACAGAGAAATCAAAGATTAGGGGAATCGTCTCGTCTCTAAACGGATGATGCAGCTTCACATCGGTTCGATTGCGATATTTGGTATAACGTGGATCAGTTGGATGCACAGCAACCGCTACATCTCCCAACATGGTTTCCGGCCTAGTAGTGGACACTACAATCTCCTCCAGCTTGCCATCATTTTCGAGTTGGGCATCGACAACGCGATAGGCAATATCAAAGATGCGACCGAAGAGGACATTCTGCTCATAGCCGGGCACGGCTATTTCAACAGGTTCCTTAATATCCAAATTTTCCACTTCGATATCAGAGATGGCAGAGCGCAGGGCACAGGACCAATTGACGAGCGAATTACGTCGCGTGATAAGGCCCTCATCGAAAAGCTGCACAAAGGCCAAGCTCACAGCTTTAGCCTGCTGTTCGTCCATTGTGAAGTATTCTTGATCCCAGTCGAGTGAGCAGCCCAGTTGACGCAAATCCTGAATAATTCCTGCGCCCTTTTCAGCCTTCCATTTCCAAATCTCCTCGAGGAAGGCTTTTCGACCAATTTCCTGACGTGTTTTTCCCTTGGTCGCTAACAAGGTACGCTCTACGACCACTTGTGTGGCAATGCCAGCATGATCAGTGCCTGGCACCCATTGCACATCGTAGCCAAGCTGCCTTTGCTGTCTTGCAATCACGTCCTGCACCGTGGCCATCAGTGCATGGCCTAAATGCAAGTTACCGGTTACATTTGGGGGTGGCAGGATCATGCGATAGGGTCCACGATTGCAACCGCTTTTCACCTCGTTTGTGGGCTCCTTTTCACGTTCCCAATATGCCTCCTCAACGGGCTTCGGCTGATAGCCCGAAGCCAAAGGCAATTTGGAGCCTGTTTGCGAAATTTTCATTAGCCGACATATTTATGAATGAATAACGATTTACTCACCTTTGACCGTGCTACAGTGAAGCCGAGCACTGACATTTAGCAATTTTGGCTGGCATAAGTGTTTGTGTATGACTAAATTGCGGGTAACTACTTTAATAATTTGCATTATATCAATTCCAATTTGTTGAGAACCCTCAACAGTTGTTATTATATCAACTGGCAGTGTGTACACAACTTGGAGAGGTTTAAAATATTCAAAAAACACAAAACAGCTGATAGCTAGAGCTGAGAGCGATAGTTTTGCCTTGCTATCGATAAGAGAATCGAATTATAAAGCGCCTAGATTGAAATAAACTGAATTCCTTGACAATTGTTTGGCTCTTTATTGATGTTAACTGCATTTCGTATATTTTTGTGTATAGAAGCGACCGAAAAGAAAAAGAAATGACAGCATGTAAGCAACTCCCGTATAACTGAGCCAAGGCTGGTATTCACATCTGCTTACAATTGCCTGAGCGCCCCAAGCCAGACCCAATGCAAATTGCAACAGCTGCAGCGCTGTTAAATAACGTTTCCACCATAGATACGGGTGTAAACGAGGTCCCAGAGCGCTCAGTGAGTAATATCCGTACATAACGATGTGCACAAAGGAATTCATCAGAGCCGGCACAAAGGCTGCAAAGGCAAGTCTTTAGAGGTATATAAAGTATATGAATTAGAAAACTCACTTGAGCCAGTGGGTATCCATTTGATTACTATCCAGCATATGACAAACATGCTGCTGTGATGATAGACATGCAAGAATGTCAATTGGGACCACTTCTTGCGCAATATGAAGAAGATAGTATCCGTAAATTCCAAAATCTTTGATATATAGAACCACCAAAAAGCGGACGCAAGCTGCGGAAATAGTTCGATAAATAGTTTTACTTCGAATTCTATCATAAAGTTTATCTACGACTTACGCGAATTTCAAGCGGATCATAGCTCACTTGACAAGGCTGACACTGTACGCTATAGTTGAGGGCACGCGATGTAGTGTAGAGCTGCAGGCAAATATAACCATTCAGCAAGGCCATGAACAAATTGTAGCCGAACAATGGAAGGCGCAACTGAAATGCCTTGCGACTGCAAACCGAGAGGAAAGCCAACATGAATGAAAGGGAATATGATGGCATCTGACGGCATACAGCTACCCACCTGGCCATCCATTTGGGCGCAAAGTGCAGCAGCAGCAAGTACAAGGCCAACAGCAAGGCAGCATGCCAAGGTGATGCTACCAATGGCCAAGATTGTGTGCGCTCATCCGCCAGCTCAGCGAACGGATAGCTGTCCAGTAAGGCAATGGATGATGACATGACCTGTCGACCCATAAGAATGCCAAAACGTTACTAACTTCAATTGCTGTCTCTACGCTGACTTTTTATAATGTTTAGCTGAGCAACGATGCGTATATATGTACATATCTATAACGTTTATCTATATATATACATATATAGTGGTTCATATAGTGATTTTCTTTAATTAAAACTCATTTGACCCCTAGAACGAATCAAGCATGACTGAGACTGGACTGAGTTGGGGTCACAGTAGCTACTCTTATACAATATAAGACTATATGACAATGATATAGTATATATATTTGACTTAATATATCCATAGATTATCTTCAATCTTATTTTCAATTTGATAAACTTGACATTTTGCTTGCTTTCAAGCGCGAAACGCTTAATGCATAGTAAATATATGTATTTGTATACTCTATATTAACTTGGGCTAACAGGGTATATTGGTTTTATATAAATGCATGTGACAAGTAACAGTTCAAGTGGAAGAACCCATAAAGTATATGTATTCTTCATTGGGTAGGCGAGCTTATTCGTTATGGTCAAGTTCATGAGGGCCTCTTCGCATGTACGAGCCCGTCGAGCTCGTAGCTAGAGATTTGAAGTTTGAAATATATTACATTATACATATTTACAATTGACTAATAGAGATAAGATGGACAGAATAGAATGCGTAAGCCATCAACTCCTTAAACGGCTCAGGGTATTTGCTAGTCGATTACTCTCAGCCCTGCTCCATATAATTTCTATTTGCTTCATCGTAAAAGTGCAGTTGGCGTAACAGATGAATAAATCAAACGTGAGCGGAAAATTAAAAAGCCAAAATGTTAAATAAACATTTGTCGATGCAACACCAAGACCTGCCTGCATTGGTCCTACACAGCGGGTCAGGTATTTCTATTTTAGCCAAACATTTATGTTACCTGTGCAGCTCAGCTGCTTGCTGGGGCTTGTAAAGTTATCAATGTGTGCGACTCGCTCGTGTTTGGCCACGCTGCCGCCTTACAATTGCTGCCACAAATAGTGACTGCATTCAGCTCCGGCTTCCTTCACCTTCCAGCTTAAACGTAGTGAGAGCATTGCAGTCGGGCGTAATTGACTGCGGAATACTCGTTTAAGATTTAACTAAATGGAATGAAATATTAGTTTTAATGCATTTAAAGTGTCTCAATGGAATGAGCATATAGGCTTAACTGAGCATACCCAATAATTCTTAACTCCTTATCATTCAGAGATGATGAGCCCAATATACTCTTCTTTTACACTTCTCGAACGAGTGGAAGTTAGAGAAAGAAAAGTCTTAATGCTCTGCCCAGCTGTTGTACTTTTAGCAGCCCTTTGGCCCTCTTTACTTATTCTGACTTTGGCTCCATTTTCTATTATTGTTTTCTTTATTTGTATTGCTGTACGTGTCTCTGCACCTAGGGCACTTTGTGACCTACTCTAACTCCATATACCCTAACTCTCTCTCTCTCTGCTCAGCTGCTGTTGCTATGCAGCTGTTAGTCAGAAGGGCTAAGCCTTGAGAGCATTATATATGTATAAAAATGTATATATATATATATATATATAAATATATCTTCTAACTGGCATTGACTACAGCTAGGAGCCAAATAAAAAATGTGTCTCGGCCAAACGTCAATTTTCATTAAACAAATGTCACAAATGTCATAGATTCAAAATGGGCATCGCCAGTGAGTGTCAGCGTAACTGTGTGGGTGTATATATATATATATATATATATATATATATGTATGTGCTCTCCCACATGGACTCTGAGGTTAACCACTTGGCTTTGCTTATCATAGAGCAAAGGATGCTGCCATGCATGCCTCCTTCATATCCTGTGGCTATGCTTGTCCTTTTATCATCTGTGCCTGCCTGCCCGTGTGTAAGTGTGTGTGTGTGTGTGTGTGTGTGTGCTTATGTATGCATGTAATTAAGTTAGTGTGATTGTTGTAATCAGCTGCGCCCACAAATTTAGCTACCACAGCAACTATGCAAACTGAAGATCATTTTGGACTCCCTCGCCTTCTCTCCCATCTCCCTGGACATTCCTTATGGCCACCGCATATGCATCCAGCCATGCAAGCACTCATCCACACATTTTTGATAGATTTGTTGGCTGTGCAGTTCATCATTTGGCCAAAACACCTCGTTCTGCTCGTCCGTTCCGCAATGTTGGCTCTGCCATTGCCAATGCTCGATGTGGTTTGCGGATGCCATTGTGGCGGGAGGGTGAAGGGAGGTCATCGGGTGTCGTGGCAGGACATGGTTTTTGTCAGCTGAAGCTTATCGCGTCGACATTGTCGCCGAACCCAATGTGCTCCACGTGAGTTATTAAATAGATTACAGTTTTGTGTTTTGGGTCGGACTTTTGCATACATGCAGACAATGTGTCAGCGAGCATGTTTTGCACTAACATCATTCAGCTAGAAAGAGAGAGAGGGAGAGATAGGGAGAGTGAGGGGAACACACACAGTTGCGGCACATGCATGAGCGCTTCATGAAATTGAGTTTCTATTTTGTCCAGCTCGCTGCTATTTCTGAAGTCTATAGAAAAGCTTCCATTGAAACTGACCAAAAAATAGTTGAAATTGATACGTCCAATATTATATATAGACTTGAATTTATTTTCAGACTGTTTATGTTTGATAAGAAATATTAGAAAAATAAGTTAGATAAATATATAAAAATTGATAATCTGTAACTGTGGCAGACATGAGAAGAGGTTAACCTTAGCAGCTCGATTACTTGGAAACGTGGTTCAATTGTTTGCTTTGACATTATTTCTGATAAATTATTAATTTATTATTATTATTATTATTATATAAATGTTTTCGTTTTCTTTTCCTTATGTAAACTTAAATTCAAATCAGGCTGTGCTAACGCAAAATTTCGTCACATAGTCTCTTTGGTCACATTTTTAAACATAAATAAAAACAGTCAATAAAAAGTAGGTGTATAGAAATATACAAATAAAAAACTAAATAAAAAATTCAGAAATATAAATAAAAAAATATGTGAAAATATAAAAAAAAAATAAAAAGAAATACATAAACAAAACTTAGATTCATTAGGAAAAAAATATTTTTTTTTCACTTTACTTTACTTAATTTTCACATTATCAAAATATTTGTGATTTTATATACATACCTCTTATATACATACTGCGAGCCTGTGCCTTTAAGCACACTTTCTGTAATGGAATTTGTAAATATAAATAATAAAAAAAAATAATAATAAATAATAATAGTCCAACTGTATTAGAATTTATTTATATTTCTATTTATATCAATATTTATATCAATATCACATTTAGATCAATATATTCTTCGTTTCCCATTGCACATAAATTTGCTTTGTTGCAACAATTGCTGCCATCGAGCGAGTTGTCTATCAATTCTCTGGGAAAAAGTCTCTTCAAGCTTTTCTTTAATGATTGCAGCAAGTGGCACGCTTCGTTGCTTTTGTTGTTTGTTTGTTTGCTGTGGCAAGTGGCAGATTGAAACCGGATGCGCAGACAGGTCAGTGGCATCGTTGGTCCTTGGCCATTGCAACTTGGCTTTGTTGTTGTCCGCAACATTTCCGGCTCAAAGTGACAAAGTGCTCGCCGCTGTATTAAGAAATCATTTTGAAAGCTGTCTCAAAGGATTTATTATTACTTACTATTGGTTGCTGCTGCTGGTGCTGCTGCTGCTGTTGCTGCTATTGTTGTTTGCAGCTGCTGAATGCACACATAAATTGCATAACATGACCTGCTCCACTCACTGCCTTTTGTGTCCCGCTCTTCTACTTCCCTCCCACTCACTCTCCCACCCACTCTCCCCCTCACTCTGTCTCTCCCTTTATCTCAACTTGGACGAATGCAACTGTGCGTGGCAAAGTGTGCAACATATTTTATTTGTATTTCCTGTATTGTTGAGTTGTCGTTAGATCCTCTGCTTCTGCTCGCCTTCTTCTGTGCTTCTGCTCTCACTCCAACTTCAGCTTCTGATTTTGCCTTTGTTCAGCCACTAGCTCCAGCATCACAGCCTGCTCCAGCTCTTATTCATGCTTCAGCTGCTGCTTCTACTGCTGTTCCAACTGCTTTTCCTACTTCAGTTCAAGTTCTTACCTCTTTTCCATAAACTTCTCGTTTTCCAGTTCCATCTTCAAAACCATTTCCCTCTTATACTCTAGCTCCAGAGTCGTCTCCTGATCCTGCCTCCATCTTCTGCACCTACTTAATCTCAAAATCATGTCCAAGCTTCTATTTCCGCTGCTGTTAATGCCTAATTCTCCTGCTTCTGTCTCTTTCTTGTGCTCCGTCTATGATTTCTAATGCATCCAGCTCTATCTTCAGATCTGGTTTCCTACTCTAACTGTATATTCTGATTCAGCTCTATCTGCTATTCCTAGTTCAGTTTCTGTTCCACCTCCTGCTGCTGCTCCTGCTGCTGTATATCCTGCTCCCATTTCAGCTACAGCTGCAGCTGCATCTCCTGTTTCTGGCTATATCTACCTTTGCTGCTCCTTCTGCTTCCCCAGCTCTTCCTGTAGCTCCACCTGCTCGTCCACTTATCCAACTTCGAATGCCGTTGGCGTTGTCACAACACTTTGATACGCGTTATTTACAACACATTTGTCTTGGCTTCGGTTCGGTTGGCTTGCAACCAGCAGCAATAGCAACAGGAAACAACAAACAGCAGCAGCAGCAGCAGCAGCAGGTGCTTTGCAGCATCTTTATTGCATTTTCCTTTTGCTATGCTCACTCAAGTCAGCATTTGAGGTATTATTTGTTTTCTAGCCAACAGCGCATATAAATGGTTTCGAATTTAATTTGTACCCTAAGTTGCGCTCAATTGTTGTTTAGATTGATGAACTCTCCAAAACTGTGAAGTGAGAGAAGACAATCTATTGTGCTCTGAAGTGAGTTGGAAGACCGAAAGTTAGTGCTCAATAGTTTAGCTTATGTGCGGCGATAGATAGATCTTCTGTTGGCTGTAGTATATCAAGGCTGAAGCTGCTTGTTTATGGGATTCAGGGTTCGAATCTTGTATGGGAATAAGTCTCTTAGTAACTAAAGTTTTAGAGGCGGAAATTTATATAAGTGTGTTTTTTGGACTGCAATGTCAGAGGTCAATCCAAGAAGTGGAGTTGGAATTGAAGCTTGGAACGAAAGGAATTCGAATCTGAAATTAGTTTCAGATTACTTAAAAGCTGTCATAAATCTTCTCTGCACTGTTCTCTACCTTCAAATACATTTGAAGAATTGTAGTCTCATTCTTGGTTACCAAATTCTGTTGGCCTGTGTAGAGCTGCCTGCCCAACTTCTGTTACTTTCTCCACTTTTCTTCTTCCCAAAACTAGTTTCATTTGCCAACACTCGACAATGATCATTGAACAGCAACTGAGCAACTGAGCAACTGCAACGCATTAATTTTTGCCGTTATAAAATTAGTTGCAACATTTGCCAATTTATTACCGTTCGGACTGCCTCACGCTCGACGAGCAGAGGGAAACCCTCTTCCAGTCAAATTATTGCAGCCATCAAGCACCTGGCAGCTTCACACTTTCATTTCAGTAATGAATTAAATTAAGCTATGAAAATTGTGGAAACCCCTTAAAGCTACGACAACAGCCACGGCCGTTGAGTCTTTACCCACAAATATTAATTGCATTTTAATGACTTTATTTTGTCGAATATTTTGCCACACAAAAAGCCATTAAACTGATTACTTAGACACAGCCATTGACACCTCAGGGCCAACGATTTTGTTGGACTCAGGAAACTCTGTTCGAACAATCAGGAAGTATCAGAAGGTGCACTGGACGGGTGTACACGATGCGCAGATACCCTAACTAAGAACACTTTCTATATGCATGTTATTAGCATGTTGAATAGGCAGAAGTTAGAGCTTAAAGAAAATGTTCTAATTGGAAAATGCATAGTTCTGTAAGAGGATTTGAGCTCGG